GAATGCAGCCTATAATACTCTCATTTAGGAGTGTGCCCATCTCGATTTTGCTACGATAATTTTCCTTGTCTTAAAAGTTCTTGTCATGGAAAACAAGTAGACTCAATACAGATATTGACAAATGTCACATGGACCAAAAAGTTTTAAATACTATTCCTAGCTTTCTCACTGAATCTGATTGTACTTGCTTCGTTACTCAAGACACGAGAATTTTCCTTGAGGAACTCTGAAAATCAGAGCATGTATTTACAAGATCACTCTTCCTTTATTCCAAGGTTTGCTTACTGGCATTATTCTTGCAAGTTAAACATAAATTCCAGTTCATACATGAAAAATGTGCACAGGAATAGAAGGGCTTTTTTGACTGCTGCTGTTTTTGATGAATTGCTGACAGATATTTTTTTCTATAGGGTTTAAAAAAAAAGAATGCCAGGATATCAGAAATGTTGGACTATGGTTAGTCTACTACTAGGCACCTAAATAACTGCCCCTCTTTTCAGTAGGTCTGTAAGCCTGTCAAGGGCACTCTAGGTTCAGTATAGGTTTCCCAGTAAGAACCTTAATTCTATATGCTCACTTTTTAAAAATCTTGCTCATGTTGTCCCACACACCTTAAAAAACAAACAAACCTCCTACCCCACTGAAGGGTCACGAACTGACCTCATGTGGACACTGCACAGAAAACGGAATGGCCCTTACTTATTTGATTGGCAAAACTATCATCCACTGATTCATGAGGTAAGGGAAATTTCCACAACCTCATCTGAGAATTTAAGTTTTCTCACATTACTAGGCCATCGAAAAAGGTGAGTTTATCACCTTCATCTCACATGAATTGACAGGAAATGTGCTCAAAAACAAGCCCCCACTCTTTATTCTGGGAGCCAGTGGAAGTGAGATGGCACAAGATTTATATGCCAGAGCTGCATATAACTATGAAGTCCACAAAAAAAATAGCTGGGGTGGGCATGTGCATTCAATAGCACACTGTAGCTAGAAATGATGTGCAGTGCTCTTGGAAGTACATTTGCTGTTTTTCACTAAGGAACTCACGTACATGCTTTGTCTAACTATCATGTTTAATGGTGGCTGGCACTTAGCTTCTGTTTAAAAAATCTGGAAAAACACAACTTGACATGAGCTGAAAATGTAAAAAAAATGATTATTTCCTTCCGTTGAACTCATTGGTTGAAGTACCTTTTAGGTGCAAAGAAAAAAAAAAGTTATTTGATCCCCTTTCCAGAAATTGCTAATAAAATACATGCCAACACCTGGCAAAAGAGTTCCTTTGAACATACTGAATACTTAAGTTGTGGGTTCCCTTATGTCCATGGAAAATGAGTACCAAAGTAATCCAAAACTTGTTCCATAATCTCCAATGGTAGAGCCTGTGGTTCGGTGATTCCCAATTCTAGGGGTTTTTATTGGTTCAGAAAGAAAAATCATGTGAAAGAGAAATCACTAAAATGTATCACAGCCATTTCATCTGGGCAGTACGTGGGTCAACTGCAGCACTGGGCCAACAATTCTATCCGCAACATGTCTTGCTGTTGCTGTTCATTTACTTTTCATTTTAAGCCTACCAAGCATCAGATATATTTTTTTTTGTTTAATCCAAAACCTAATAAAATCATGTAAGCATGATTTTCAGATTAAACCAAGCCGTTACTGGCAGAAAATTCAAACAAATATCAAGATAAAAAAGTATGTACATCACTTGTAGATGCAGTCTATTTAAGAGTTGGAGTGACTTTTCTGATAGTATCTCTGAGAAAACTCTAATATCAGGGAATCCTCAGCAGACTTGACAAATCTTCCTCTATGCCTGAAGTGTTGAAGAGAATTGCAGATAGATAATATTATATTGGAGAAAGCATAGGGCTGGGTAACAAAGTTAGAAGCAGCTGAATTACAGATGTGCCCTGATATGTAAAACACAAGTCTATTTATATTTTGGCTATATGCAAGCGCTACCTCTAATCTCAGAAATTCAAGTTAGAACCTGAGTGTTGATGTAATAATGCTGATTTTTATGATCAAAAATTACATTAATGCATTTAAAGCTATCATGACTACTGTTTTCCTGCAAATATATAAATGATATAATTTGTTGACCTACACAGTATTCAAATTCATTGGAATTTTAAGACATCATCAGGGTAATACAATTGATGCATGTATTTAATTATGTTATTGTTCCTATTAATTACGAGAGAACTAATAAATCACTGTAACCAGAAGAGTGGTTAGAAAGTATGAAAAATAAGTTAAAAACTAGGGAAAAGGAGCAAATGAGGAAGCTGCTTAGAACCATGTCATCCAGAAATCATATGGAATAAATTAAGAAGAAAAGCTATTGAAGCAATGAACAAATGATTTCAAGAGACACCTAAATTGTTTCCTAAGGAAGAGACAGAGGGAAGTTGTTAAAAATAAAGAAAAATAAAGTGGAAAAGAGATCTATCAAATGAGAAATCTGTTGGACAGATGGTCTTATTCTGTTCCTACAATATCTGCATTTCTTAAAATTGAAAATTAAAGTAAAAATATAATACCATATTTGCCCAGTAGCCTGAATTGAAAAAAAGAATCTCAGCCCTAATTTTAATTTCCTTGAATTCATCATTCAGTGACATACCAAATTTGTCTTTGGAATATATGAGCATGTATCTTGTTTTACACTTCCCAGTGGAAGACAGGCTGCACTTTCACTACATTTATGCCCAAATTTATCTCATCTAACTTTAGACCCCTTAGTGCAGTGTAGGCTCCTTCACCACCCACTGGAGGCAGCCCAGACCACCCCTGAGCTCCAGCCAAAGCTGAACTGCCCTCAGAGGGTGCCTGTCACTGTCAGTGAGGTGTAAGAAGCCACATCAGGAGACAGAGTGAACTCATCCGGAATGAGTAGAGTTCAAGGCCGTGGCCCATCTTGCACTCCCCAAAGTACATGAGGATAGGCAAGAGAAAACAATGAAATCAAACTCTTCTGTTTACATCCTGCAAGATTTCGTGGTTCCAAGCACAAATGGGTGCATTCGTACCACCACAGATGCACTGAGCAATCAGCCAGGTAACAAACAGTTTCATCATCTTTTTCTTCTCCCCTGTGCCATCACCTGCCACAAATAGTAGTTTCCCCAAGAAATGGCTTATTTACAAGTAATTTTAGATGACTTTAAACCTCTGGTTATTTACATGAAATTGTAATTAATGAAGCTTGCTTTGCCCCAGGTGTCTTTCTACATAAGTTGTAGCCATGTAGTATGAAGCACTGATTATTGCATGCATGAGTAAGCACGTGCATTTGTGCGTCCAGATGCTGTCTGCTTTGAGAAGAATTCACAACTGGAAAAGAAAATAATAAGCATAACCACTTTGGGTTTAGGGGTTATTTTAATATAAAGTTCTTCAATGGATGCTAAACAGCAATAAATCACCTGTCCCTTCTACAAAAGAGACTGTTTTGAATTGGAAAGAGCTCAGTTATTTCCTGTATCCATCAGCTCTTTAAGTTAGTCAAAAGTGGGTAGAGAGTGTTCTTCCTCTCCTCCTGCTGATTTTCCTTCTTGTTTTAAGGCAATAAGAGGTATCAACTGCATCTTAAAATTGTATGGACAGATTATTGGTTACAGGCCTCCTGAACCACGTAAGGCTGGATGCTTCTCCATCCTAGCTGTAGAGCTGCCATACACACTAGAACAATCTCCAACAACATTTGAGAGGCTCCTTCATGCACTCTCACAGACCCAGTGAAGGCAAGAGCTTGAATGCCATGTCCTCGTCAAAAAAAATGCATTCCGCTCCATACACAGAAGGGAGAGGAGAGTTGCCACGTGTCCTTGTATAAAAACAGAAGAGCACAAATCAGCTCCAGCAAAGACCCTTAAATTACAGTCTCAGGCTTTTTGAGTTTTTCTGTTTGGATGCTTTGATAGCTCCCACACATAAAATAATAAGAACTAAGAATAAGATTTTAGAACTCTACCACAAAATGGTAGTTATGCCGAAACAAGAGTTTGCTGGCTGCATGTTGGGTGACTACGTTTTTTCATGCAACTTACCTCATTGCTGGTGGGAATTTGATAAGCCACCACAAAAAGAAATGAACGAGTGATTTAATTTCAAAGGCATCTTACCAGTGGGCTACCATCAGTCCAGCGGAAATCACGCTCAAACATCTTGTCATTGAGTCCAATCCACTGGTAGTCATGCCCAATACCTAAGGAACCAGAAAGATATTTTTATTAACTTTCCCATAAATGGAAAAGATTTCACCAAAGAAAATAAAAAGAATTTGCACAGAATGAATCAGACATCCTGTTCTTAACATTCTTCTACTCATTATGCAAACAACTATTTACAGGCTGTTTTTCAACTTTTCAATTTTAATTTCGGATGTCTATAAAAATGCAGATCCTCCTCTAAGAGTTTTAAACAATCCTGTCTCTTCCCTCCTGACGGTGTCTCCCAAAGAAAACAGATGTTTCCTACCTGAGTGCATATGAGGGTGAGGAAAAAAAAGTGAAAAAGATTAAAATAATAAAAGCACGTATCTTAATCTAGATTTTTCAAGTTTTGGTTAGGCTGAGACCAGTGTTTTCTAGATCGTGCAACACAACATACAGGAACTATTTCTTTATGCCTACTTAATACAATATATGTTGTCATGGTCGCTGGTGTCAGGTGCACAAAAAGCTAAAGCCTCCAGAAAAAAATGTTTCATCGATTTCCAATGCAAAACAGTAGTTCTTGTTCTCTTGCTAAACCCAAAGTATTTCCTATGTAACAAATAATGACTTAATAGTGACAAGGAACTTGCATTGACTGCAAAAGTAAACATGAAGAAGACAAAGTGTGCCTTTTAAACATTGTAAAAGTATATTTTGAGATGGACATGTAAAAGCTGAGTGATCAGGAAGATATTTCACTAGCTCTGAACACTCAGTGCCCATTCTTGTTTAGAGGAATCCTAACAGTACGTACGGTTCACAAAGATCTGCTCCTCATGAGACAAGATGCTTGTCAAATGTGCTCCCTGGAGACGGCATTCCCTTTCAGCTGTGTCCCATGTACGCCGATGGGCAAAGTATTTGTAGCACTGTCCTTGGAACTTGTGCCAGCCATAATCACAGGTCTCTGTGTCTGTGACAAACAAATAAACCACATCTCTGTCAATGGGTTTGAAGCACAGGATTGTTTCATGCAAGCAGATGGATTTTCTGCAGGGCAAACGTTCAAGAAGATTCCCACCCTTTAAGCAGTATAAATGCAAACAATCAACACTCATCCTTGAGACCTCATTACATTTTCAGGTAGTTCTATTCACCAGTTTCAGTACAAGCTGCAAGAATATTACTTATGGAAGGAGTATAATTGCAACTGGCAGCTTTGGGAGCTTCTACTGATTGATTTGCACTGTACTTGGACAACGCCAAGAGGACATCTTCAGTCCATAACTCAGGGTGAATGAAATGCCTGGATGTTGGACTGCAGTTAGTCTACATTTCAGCTGAATTTCAGAGTCTGTATGTGAGGATGGGAATTTTTACTTGCAAGGGCAAATAGTTCTTTGAGTGACTGTACTGAATTACCTGGGTTTAGAAGAAACTGATAACTGAAAATAATATGAAGGACAGTGCTTGTGATTGTTCAGTCCACAGATGCAAAGCTGCAGCACTAGCTTTCTGAACTTAGCCCTCCAAATCCTCCTCCAAACCCCATCTTCCTTGACAAAGTCTACCTTAATAAACTTTAGGCAACAGTTTCTAAGGAAGAGTGTAAAGCTGAAATACAAAGTAATGAAATGCACATTGTCTGAGCTTGTATGAGGGATGGTACTGATACGAATGCATAATAGAGAGAAGTTCCCATCAGTCAGTATATCCTTTCATCTAAAGAGAAATAAACATGAGCCTTGGAACAGTGACAATCCATGGATTTGACGTTAATTATTTTCTCAAGGTTAAGCAGCTGTAAACAGAATAGATGGCAAGGAACAACAAAGTTCTGGTTCCAAGTCTGCATCTGCACCAGCACTGCAGGAATGAACCACAGACACAAATCAGTATTAGTAAGATGGGCATAACAAAAATGATGCCCAAATGTGTCTGAGCTGTCCTTGATGATGAGAAGAACTTGGCACTGAGAAGAGAGAGTTTTAGGGAGGAATAGGAGAAACAATAGGGAAAACTCAAGACTGTTTTGAGTTACGGCAGATGAAATGGCATCATAAAGGACACTTCAGCACACGATTACAGCTTGTTCTGACTACAACAAGTTCCAGCTATCTAAGTACATGATAGGTCACCCTGAAGGGCCTCAGTTGCAGGAAACTGAAGAACAGAAACACAAAGCTTGGCCTTCCCCACCCACCAAACAGGAATTTGCCACTTCCCACCAAGTTTTATCAATCCCCAAACAAAACTGTGGCTGAAAGTAACCATCTGGCCTTTCCAGAGGTATAGATACATTCTGGATATGAAATTGGCGTTCTTATTTTCAGTTAAGTCAATATAGTCAACAGCAATAAAATCCTTCAGCCAAAGGGACTCTTTTTGCATTAGTACAGAAAAAGCCAAATATTACAGAATATGCCAATGACGTATGACTACAAATTCTTTAACTATAGTATTTCTTAGGTTTGAGCAGCTACCTCCTGAAAAACAATTGTGGAAAAATTTTGTCACAATGTAAGGCTGGTTCTTAATTCATAGCAGGAACAGGACATTCACATCCTGAAGCACCAAAGTGTCTGGGTTTTTTTAGCTTTTAAACCTCCCAGGATGAAAACTAGACTTTACATGTACATAAATAGGTATAAAAATGCAAACATATCACTTCAGAGGCTTACCAGAATTTCTCTGAGAATTTCTGGCAACACTAATAACACAATAGTCATTGTCTTAGGAGCCTGGTATCAAAATCATGTTCTAGAAGTTATCAGTACAGACACAAATGTACCAAATACAAAGGCATAATAGAGCTTACACTGATTATCTCTCTTCTATTTTCAACAAGTTAAGCTGTAGAAAACTTCTTGTGCCTTGAGTAATCCCAGCTACGAAAAACGAACGTCTATACTATCAACTTGTTAGTTTTTTATCTTTTCCCTCTTTGTATTCTGCATGAGGTGCAGGCTACAGATACAGCTTTAATCTCTGGCATCTAGGCCGTTTTAAAGTTTAGTCTGCCTTTGGCTTTCTAGAACGTTTGTTTAACCACACAATGCTGACTAACAGGGCTATGTCCTTTGTGAAGGCACTTAAGATTTTATTATTCATCTTGTTCAGGGACTCTCTTGTCCCACAGGAAAGAAGTCAGATAATAACAAGCAGCATTGCATGCTGAGAAAATTGTGGCCAGAAAGCATTTCCACACTATTCCAATCAAGCCTTCTCTGGCCTCTGCTAGGGAAGAAGTGCTCAATTTGAGAGATCTGCTGAAAGGCACATAGGGGTGGCAAAGAGGCTTGAAAACACAAAACCTAGAAGACTGGGTTCAAAGAATGAGGTATAATGGCCTGAGCATGAACCATAAATAATAAAATTTTTCTTCTTAAGATTGAGGATGCCCAATGGTGACATAGGTACTCTTAGTTGAAATGCATGCACTGCAGTGCACATACAACTCCTCCCTCCTATCCAAAATGGCTTGTTTTCCAAAAGGGAAGAGCTGACTAACTTCTGCACCTGTTTGTAGCCCAAATCTACAAAGACAGAAAAAGACAAGGCTAATGGCTAGAAAACACAAAGGATTTTTAGAAGGGGAAGAGAGGATTTTTTTCCTTTTTTTTTTTTTTTTTTTGAAAGAAGAGGTGAATGAGAAGAGGGGAAAAAGGAATGGGGAAAAGGAGAGGCAGGAAGCTAGAGGATGAAAAATGCAAACCTGGCAAGTAAAAATGTGGTGACTTTCATCTCTGCAGTGCTCTGTCCTGAGTGTGTGTGTATCTTCCTACATTAACAAAGCTGAACGGGTGACACAAAGGTAAGGGCTCCATACAGGTTTTAGTTTTTAGTGCCTTTACTGAACGAGTAAAGTCTAACTGCAGGTAGCTGTAAATTTTCTAACCCGATCATCTGTGAGTAGAGTAGGTGCAAGCACTTACTGAATGTGACATTCCATGTTCATTGTATACTTATCCATGGAGGTAATCACAGCCGGCCATAACCTTATTCCAGAAAGTGATGGAAAGACTGGAACTCTGCTTGCCATATTTATGGTGTTTTAAAAGTTGTCTGACTGGTCTTAAGATTTATGACAACTTACAGGCCCTTTTAGTGATGTGTGCAAGGAGTTACTTACACAGCTTCTGTTGTCTGTAACAGCAATTGTATATGTACAACAACATCTCTAAACACTGCATTAAAAAAAAAAAGTTCTCTGTAGGTTTAATACCTAGATAGGTACCACTTTTTCAACAGCTGCAATAAGCTGCTAACAAGAGGTCCCTTGTCTTTAAAGAAATTCCATAAGAGACTTAAAGAAAAGACTGAAACACAGGTACTAGAACATAATAAGAGTTTTATTCAGCTGTGAATTTTATCTGTGACTGTCTGTCTTCAGCTAATGACAAATGCCTGAGGCCCATCAGCCCACACATCTTGAGGAGAAATAATTTCTCTGGTAAATATTCAAAATAATCCCTTCTCAGCTGAAAGACATCAGTTAGAGACCATCTGTTTTCAGAAAGTATCTTTGCACTGAGGCCTTCTCAAATACCTCCATCCCAAGCTACCAAGCCCTGGGAACAAAGTGAATCAAATGAGACTGGAGTAATCGCAGACATTTGAGCAATGAACTTGGGTTATAAAAAAAATCAAATTGTTCCTGATATGATGATTAAAAAACCCAGCTGTTTATTTTTCAGAACCTGGAAGAGAACAGCTGGTTGTATTATCCCAAGGAGGCATGTCCCATAACAAACACATATGTGCCATTTTGGCACACAGGTCCATGCACGCAGCTGCATTTGGTAAACAGACTCTCCTAGGTGTGCCCACAGAGATCCTGTAGTGGAGAAAGCCAAACCTTAAGTCTGAAAAACAAGCACAGTTCCTTGAAAGCAGGTAGACACCAGTTAGAATAGGAAAAGGAGAAAAAGAAAAGGAAACTCTAGCCAGCCAAAGAAGGAAAAGGAAAAAGCAGGTCCTCATCCAGTTCTCATAAAGAATTCCTGAAACTGAGGTTCAAATTGCATGTTTCTACCATTTTGGTGTTTCCCGTGTAACTCTTCATGAAATAAGGTACTCCTTACCAGAACTACAGATGTCCAGATAATACAACAACAGCCCCAGGCTTTCATACACCCCACTGGTCCCCGGGGACTATTCTGTACAGGTGGTTCCACCAGCTTGGTGTGAGACAGGGTATCAAACAAC